CAGTGAACGTGCTCCAGGACTGGCATCGCCTCTGCCAATTATGTGCGGCTCTTGTATAGCGTCAATGAGTCTATCCACGTCACTTCTCTGGCTTGAGCCGCTCTTGAAGCTGCGTAGACTAGTTTTACTTGTCAAACTCTCCGCACTCGACCTTCGTATCACCACACCGTTCGAAGTGTCTTTCGCCTCACTATCGGAAGTGTGGCGTGAAAGGCTCGGTGCAATCAGAGTTCGCTCACCATCCTCAGGGCCAAGTAGGATGCTCGAGAGTACACTGTCAGGTTGAGGCGTGATGCTGCCAGCTGGTGAAGCCTCTGTTGTCGATGCAGCTTCAACCTCGGCATCTGGAAGGTCGAACGGAAACTGTATGACGAATCTTGTGCCTTTGCCTTCTTCTGATCGCAATCTTAATTGACCGTTCATGTTTCTGATGATGCGCCCAACGACTGCCAAACCAAGACCTAATGTTGACTTCTCGCCTTGTTCTGCGATCTGCTTCTTGTCCGGCACAAGAGCATCTTCTAGCATGGAAGTAGGCTCGGACTGGACTTGCTCCAAGTCATAGAATAGTTGATCGAGCTTCTTCTGGCTCATGCCAGCACCTGTGTCTGATACTGCAATCTCCACCTCAACGTGATCTTTGCTCGGTTTTGCTGCAAGATACACCTCTACTTTGACGCTTCCTTGAGTGGTGTTCTGAATCGCATTCGCAGTGATATTTGATATTGCTTGGCGAATTCGGCGTTGATCTCCGATACACAGGGTAGGCAGGCCCGGGTGTTCGATGACTTCGTAAGCAATGTTCTTTCGTTTGGCGTCATTTCGGAACATATCTGTAGCCTCTTTGATTGTTTCCCTGAAATCGAACGACTCCCCCTTAATGAGTGGTCCGCCCTCTTCCGTCTTGGTTAAGTCGAGCAAATCGTTGATTACGTAGATGAGAGATTTGGATGCCGAGTGCGATCTCGAAAGGTTCTCTCGCGTTTCCGTGTCCAAAGCGCCCTCTAATGCTATCTCGAGGTAGTTGATGATTGCATTAAGCGGTGTACGTACTTCATGTGCCGAGTTCGCCAGCAACAATCGGGTCAGTTGACTGCTCTGAAGGGCGGCTTCTTTCTGTCTCCAGACTTCTATGAACTTTCCGTAGACCAAGCAAAGTACTGAGGCGGTCTCGATCTCTTCTTCTGTCCATTCGCGGCATTTTCCAACAACAGTCTCGGACCATGTCTTGAAACTTTTCCGGGGCTCTAGGTAGCCCTCAGTGCCTTCTTTTATGAACTTCTCATATGGATTACCAGCCCATTTCACCTCCTTCAGTTGACCCTTCCTGAAGAAGACAATGAAGTCCTCGCCATCTACCGACAAAGGAACGATGAGCATGCCGGCTATGATATGAAACCCAGGGGGATATCGCAGATCGGGGAAGTCCGAGACAATATCTATGGAAGTCATGACCGACTGAATTTTCCTCATTCTGAGATATTCCAACATGGCTAAAGCTTCTTGGGAGTTTTCCAGGATGCCAAGAATCTTCGTCTCGTCTCGGATGGACAATAAACCAAAATCAGCGTCGAACAGTTTCAGGAGATCATCAGAAGAGGCGATGATGTATCCGGAAGGGTTGTGTTGCGTCGGTACGGTGTTGATGAGCTTCCTAGCCTGCAGTCTAGAAGCATACGATAATCTTTCAATGTTTCGAGACGCTGCATCGCCGACCATGCGACACATCTTGCGTATAGGAAATGACACTCGCATACCGCGTGGCCCATATGAGTGACAGGCGATAAGACCCCACAGCTCACCGAAGGCGTTGATGGAGATGGACATTGAGGATCTTACAGCCATGTTCGCTAGGTACTTGAGATGAATAGGAGACATGGCGCGAAGATACGAGTGGGTGAGATCGAGAGGGCTCTCTAAGTCCTCGGCGGTGCGACATACAAGCCTTGCGGTTGTTAGGTCGCGATCGTAGAGCATACGTACCTTGTTGAGCTTGTATAGCTCTCGAGCCTGCTTTGGAATATCAGAGGCAGGGAAATTTAAGCCTTTGTAGAGATCTTTGGTCGCGCGAGGGTCAACAAGTTCGGTGACGACACGGCCGTTGAACGTTTGGTCGAATTGATATATCATGACGCGGTGGAAGCCGGTCAACTCCTTGACCACACCGACAAGAACCTTTAAGAACTTTTCCAATGATGGCGCTGCGGCCAATTGCTCTTGCACCTGAGACATTATGTTGAAAACCTCCATGGCGGCAGCCTCGCCCTTTCGTTTCCGCGCACTGCGTAGGACCCGCAGGGGTTTACTCTTGATTTCTGTACTTTCAAGTAGTTCCTCGGCGGTGGGCTGGCTGGACAAAGTATCTTCCGGCAGCTCTGGCGTGAGGTCGTTAGGGGGAACCAGGGGATACAATGCATCCTCTTCGAGCTCGAACTCGCAGATGACAAGCCCAGGGTTGGACTCGTTCATGTGGATTGCACACCATAACTTGCGCGTTCTATTGTAGCCAGCTACTTTGATCGACATGGTAAAGACTTCGGGCCCGTTGGACGTAACGTCGGAGTCTTCGTCTTTGATGAAGTCGATATGGTCCAAAAGGTTGTCGGCTTGCTCTTCGGAGAGAATGTCTGTGAAGCTCTCTAATGCGAAAAGTTCCTTTGGGGTACGCCCAAGAATGCGCTTGGAGTTCTCACTCACCACGCGCACTAGTAGACTCCCTTCAGGATCATCCTGCAGTGCTAGCAGCAGGCCGAAGCCTTGCACAGCACCCGGAAGATGGATGGGCTCATCCTCGCAGCGCTGCAGGGTATCGCCCTCACGACCTGTTATGACCATGTGGCCCCCTTCGGTCGTGACGTGCTTGAACCGGTGTGTTACCAGACCGCCCATATCCAGGCTGCTTATACCGCTCCTAGCGGAAGCGCCTCCAATCGACGGTGCACGCTCGGCCTTGGAACCTGGCGATTGACTGCCATTCTGTGCGCTTCCACCTGACTTTGTTGATGACAGGTCGTTGAACAATTGTGGGGGCAGGACGGGGGCGGCCATCCGCGAGCTGTCCCCTCTTTGGCTTGATTTGAGAGACGAACGCTGGGTGTCGGAACCCGCATCAGGCTTGTTCCCTCCGTGGCGCAAACTCCAATTGCGTTGCGAGGCATGTGATGACTGTGAGGTGGTGGAGCCCTGCGATGCCCTACGCGAGTCGCTCGTGAAGCGCGAGTCGTTGGTCCTTGAATATGGGTGGAAGTAGTCACCCTGTGAATGACCGCCCTTGGGGGTGGGGGTGGGGTCGACGCTGATGGCGCTGCGTATAGGAAAGACTCGGTCGGTCGCAGAGGGGCTCAAGGCGCTTGAAGCTGCCTCGTTGCTAAGAGCCGCATGTGCAGCGTTAGACGGTGGCAAAGAAGCGAAGTCGGTCGTCTTTGTGCCGGCATCGGGGGTGCATGGCTCCTCCGGCACAGGCGACACGGTGGAGAAGTTGAAGCGACCATCGTCTTGTACAGGAGGGCCAGAGTTGGGGGTCTGCTTGGGTGATTGAGACATGGAGCTCGGAGTCGTCGAAACGCGTGAACGCCGCTGGCAGAACTAGAAGGCTCCAGATGGCCTGGCTACGGTCGCTAGGAATAAAGGCACCCGCACACAGTCGGCTTGTGCCTTCAGGCGTCCATGGGAGGGTAGCGGTCGCTATCGTGAGGTGTAGATTTATTGGAGGCTTCGCTCATCGGCACGCAAAGTGACTTGGCGTTATGCAGGGACCGGGAAACAGGTGGCGATAGCGTGGACAGTCCCTAATAGGAGTCTCGTTCTTTTTGCCAGAGGTGGGTGTTGGGCGGGCCTAGCAGCCTCATGAAGTTGGCAGAAGAGGTGCTGCTGTGGGAGATCTCCAGCAGGGCTGGCGTGAGAGGGGCGAATTCTAGATCGTCGAGCAGCAGTAAGTGCGAGGCTCTAAAACGGGGGAAAGCGACAGAAGAAGAGAAGACGACCGACGGCAATCAGGCTTTCTCCTAAGCTGCACTGGTGCACTGGTGCAGACAAAACGGCAAGCCAGGCAGCGCGTCACCGTCTAGTTGATGAGATGGATGACTGCCATCAAGGGCCCGACAGACACTTGAATGGCTTGATGCGCCTTGAAATGTCGATCATGGAGGATCTGAGCGTAGTAGCTCACACAGTCTGCGATCGTCGATTTAGGCCGCGATGGGCATAGTGGATGTTGCCCCTAACATGGTCTTCTCGATAAATTCCATCGCCTGCGACCCACTTCCATCTCACGGCGCGGCGGGAGTTAACACGAAAGACGAGGTTACGTCATCGGTTAGATGCGCCCAGCGTGTGGCTGCTGAACGCCGAACCAAGAAGTGCGTCTCAGCAGACGCGGGAGAGATGATCATCTGCTTGTTTATTGTTTGAACGGACGAACGTGAACAATAAATCTCCTCACCGTCTCACCTCCCACACACAGCAGCTCCTTAGACACATGGACACCATCGACTCCCTCACACCAGCCGTGACATGTTTGACACTTGCTCGTGACGAAAGAACGGTACGCCTGTCCTCGCCGTTCCGCGGAACCCAATCGCCAGTCCTTCCCCACGATACCCGATGGTCGGCGTCCGCTCACGTGATAGATGTGCACGGCACGTAGTCTTCGGCGCTAATCTTTGCTGTTGGAAAAGTGTTTGACCAGAAAAATGCTGCCAAGTCTCTGACGAGTAGATGCAACAGCGATGCATCAACCATGGAATTAATTGATGTTTGACGCGTACATGCGACTCCGTCGGCCCTTTTTGCCTACTGGCCTAAGTACCGTGCCAGGTGCTCGCGTCTCCATGCCTCCGCCCTCCCAGTGTACCTGACTTGTGCAGGGATGCCTAGCAGCAACATCAGATAAGATAAGCCGCGAAGGAAGATGGACAGTGGGGCGACGGCCAATGGCGGTCTAACACCTCGACGTGAACAGCCCTACAGCGACTCCAACACCGCACTTCACCTCCTCATCAATGTCCCCGCAAACACCCGCGCGCACGCTAAACGTCCTCGTCGCCCTAACCGACCCCTCTGCCTTCCGCTTTGGCTGCTCCATCGTCGCGCGCCTGCATCGCCTCCAGCATGTCTCGTTGAAGATCATCGCATGCAAGGACTTCCCGACCACGACCCATACGACTGTCCCGCCCCAGCTCGAGCCCGTCTGGCACACGTATGACCCTGAAAAGGACACGACGCCTGAGTGGCAACATGCCGACTACCAAGAGACCAACGTCGCAGAGTACTGCTCATGGGCCGACTTGCTGGTGCTGGCACCGCTAGATGCCGAGAACCTCGCCCGCATGCTTCACGGTTTCACAACGAACCTGCATTTGAAGATTCTACGCAGCTGGAATGTGTCGAAGAAAATAATGCTTATACCGGGAATGTCCACGCTGATGTGGGAGAACCCCATGTCAAGGAAGCAGATCAGTAAGATCCGCCGGAAGTGGAATTGGATTCGCGTCCTGCCTCCGTTCCTATGGTCCTTTGACCATTCAGGGCGAAAGTACCACCCATGGGTAGAAGGACACAAGGCGTTCAATGAATCTATACAAACCCAGATCGATTTGATGGCAGTCGGTGATCGTACTATCGCACTGCCTATTGCCCACCTCCCCACACTGACACCTACGAGAAGCAAAGGACCCCGTCTCCCACCAGAGCTCTGGTCTATCATCCTGGAATTCACCAAGGACTGGGAACTAGCGACTACCTTGAATGTCCATACAAACCTGCCTGTGCCGAAAGAGTGGCGACAGGCTACAAGTGAAGAAGGGCCCAAGACACAAATGCAGAAGATAGAATGGGCACTTCTCACATATCCGTATTCTGAAATTAAGGCTCTGTTCGACTCTGAGCATCCCACGCGCATCTCCCGCATGTGCATCGAACTTATTATGCGCTTTGCCATGGTACCCGTTCTCATGCATCTAGAGAAGTTCCACAAGGATCTCTTCTGGAGTACATTTGGACACACATTCCTTCCTCATAAAGCCTCAGTGTTTGGAAAGACGGAGATCCTTGAATATTGGAGAACATCCCCTACCTTCCTCACCAAGGAGTATTCTGCGGAAGCCATTGACAATGCAAGTCGCGCCAACTCTGTCCAAGCTCTCGACTGGTGGTATAATTCTGGCCTATCGCTCAAATACACAGAAGCTGCACTTGAACAAGCTAGCTCTCAGGGTCACATTCACGTTCTCAAATGGTGGAAGGAGCACAGCCGCCATAGGACTGCCCCTTCAGTCCCTTCCTCTCCAGTCGATGAACAGGCTCCTAACAAACCTCACCGAGATGACCTGCCTCTCAAGGTCGGCAAGTCGATAACTTACGCAACACAGTCAGGATGCCTGCCCGCAATTCACTTCTGGGTAGAATCCGGCATTCCCTTCTCGCACGAAGATACAATAGCCAAGGTTGCCTCAACTCATGGTCACACACATATTCTAGACTACTGGCGCAAACTCCGCGGCGAAAAGATTCTCTTCGACAACCAAGTTCTCGTCGGACCAACCAAGATGGGCCATGCCGATGTACTTGAATGGTGGAAGCGCAGCGGTTTGAAAGTGGAATACAAAACATGCGATATTGAAGAGGCACTGGAGGATGGTGTAGAGGGGGCACGGGGAGATGCTGTAAGGAGGTGGTGGGCATTGAACGGATTAAATCTTGGGGTCGGTACGAGCGAGTGGATGAGGGTGAAGGTCCTAGGTTCGTGATGGCGGTTTACCATGGTGAGATCAGGTGCAAAAGGTCATGAGCATCTTATCATTTTAGCATAGCAAGCGGTTTCAATGGCATAATTTGACTACTTTAACTAGCAGCGGAATTGGATACTCAAAGAGTGAAAGGACTGCCCCGCGATAATCCTGCAGCCCCACCATCAACACGAGACAGGGTCTTCTTACCCGTTCTGGCGGAGCTCGGGAACGTCGGTGAGTGAGGCGCCAGACAGCCAATCGGTGAGTCGCAATTTGACTGCGAGCACAACCCTCTCCTACGCCTAATACGCCTAAACTGAGAGCTAGAGCTAATCCCGCTACGACCACAACTTCTTATCCGCCGTTTCTTTCTGACCTGACACCTCACCTCCAAAGCCCCACGACTCTCGCGCTTTCCTTTCAACGTCCTATACTCGCCTCGGCCCACGCAGCAATACGCTCGTCTCGAATCTCCTACTTCGGAACACGTTTCGCATTTCTTACACAACTCCACAATGGCCGACAAGGAATTCACCTACTCCGACGTCTCGGAGCACAACACCAAGAAGGACCTGTACATTGTTGTTCACGACAAGGTCTACAACGCATCAAGCTTCGTAGATGAGCACCCGTACGTTGCTGCCTCGCACACCGCGCAATGCACCTCGGCATTCGCACCCCCGTTATCGCAAAAAAGCCCCGCTCCCGACTTTACCACGGGAATGATACAAGTGCAAGCGCTAACATGTCTACAGAGGTGGTGAGGAAGTTCTGCTCGATGTCGGAGGTCAGGACTCAACAGAGGCATTCGAGGATGTCGGTCACTCAGATGAAGCCCGCGAGATCCTCGACGGTCTGCTTGTCGGAAACCTGAAGCGCCAGGTACGAAACCCCCATACTTTTCCATACTCTCCCAATCCCTTCTCTAGACACACAGCTCCATTTAGGACCTCTTTCTTGTACCGTGGACCTCCGCAGGGTGTCGGCCGAGGGAAATGGAAGTACCTCGGAACAATTCCGCAGTCTGCGGACAAGAAACGCACCGTTCGTTACGTACTACTTGAAGACCAGTTTTGCTGATGAGTGATACAGGAGGGTGACCCAAAGCCCAAGAGCTACGCGCAGCCCGGCTCAACCGCTACCACCACTGACGGTGCCTCGACTGGTGTCGGCCTTTACGCCATCATCCTCCTCGGTGGTGCTCTTGCATTCGCTGCCTACACCATGATGAACAAGCAGTCTGCTGAGTAAGAATGCTCATCAGAAAAAAAGAACAAAACACAAGAGATACCATCGACTTGAAGTTCGATCTTGAGTTGAAGAACGAAAAATCCCGCCTGGACAAGACAACGGGATTGGCATATATAGAGGCGATGTTATGTGAACTTGACACATAACGGAGTACATTCACATGGCGTAGGCTTTGTTTGAGCGTTAATCACGCCGCGAACAAGCAATTGGAATAGATCGATTTAACTGTTTCAATATGAGTTTGTCTGATTTTCTGAAAATACTTCGATCTTCGTCTGGTCAGGGCTTGAAACAATGACAGCTTCCCTAGGCCATCTGACAACTCATGCACAAGGTCATTCGCTTCAGAAATTTTTACCATCTCTTCAATTACCAATGAGGTTGTATCACGGAGTAGAAGTCAATTCTTCGTTGTCCGTACATCTAACATACACGATATCGTCCAATCCAACAAATAATCGACAACTTTGATATCACTCATAGAACAAGACGAACTTGATACATAGAGTAAATTCGGCTGCCAAGGAGTCCGAGTCTAGATCGAGCGCAATCTAGTTTGTGACCGTGTCGGATGTGATTAGTGAAATCTAGATGTGTTGTTCCATCTTGGCATGTGCTAGGTACTACACTATTGCATGTAAACCACGATGACTTTGTGCATCTGTATGACGGGAACGGTATTGTTACGAGATGAGTATTGAAGAACCAAATGTACTGGTGGTTGATAAAGGTATTTTCAAGACTTTGCTTGGTTTTATAGCTGTGAGGTAGCGCTCACTGCAGGTCGGCTTCATTTACTCAATTTTTGTCCTCCTGGTTGAAAGCATCTATAAATGCAACATTCCAATAACGTTTATTACTTAGCTGGTACATAAACAATTTCCTCGTCTACCATCACATAGCCAATGGAACATCATCGTGATTTGATAAGGGTATCATTCATCTCTAACAAACTCAATTCCATCGTACCCACAAACATCGCAAACACTCTACATATTCCTGAAAACATTGTTGCTAGCATTCCTCCTGTCGCCTTGCTTCCTCCGGTCATGCCTTTGACCCTCCTGTTCCGTTCTCTTCTTCTGCTTCCTCTCCGGCGCAAACGTAATCTCCCTCTCGCCGACCACCGTCGTCGTATTCGCAGACGACGCAGGTTTTCTGTCTTTGAGTTTCGAGACACGCGAGCCGAATGTCTTGTCCTTGGAAGTCGGTCCGGCTTTCCGTTGGTTCGACGATGAGACCACCATTTCGGGGCCAGGGCGTTGGGATCGGTGACCGGCTTTGCGGTAGTTGCCGGAAGAGATGCGCGACGTGTCTTCCTTTTGCTGTGGCTTCTTGGTGGGACGTACTTTGTCGGCTTCGGAGTCGGAGGAGTCTTCGTCTGACGAGCCCTTTCTTGATTCCAGATCTTCTTGTTCGACCGCAGTAAGACCTTTGGGTATCTTGGTGCTGGGATTGAGTTGCTGGAACTCGCGGGTTTGCTCGTCGATCTCGAACTCGGGATCTTCGAACATTTTGGCGAAACGCGGGTCGTTGAGAACGCCATCTGCTTTGACAGGCTCTTCGACGGCAGGTGCGGCGGAAGGCTCCAGCATGTCGTCGTCGCCGCCCTTTTTGAGGACGCGCTTGGCTCTCCTTCGCTCCTGCTCTTCTTGTTTTTCCAACATCCTCTCTGCGAGCTTTCTGTTGACCTTGACTGCCACCTTCTTGTTGCCGCGAATCCTGCTTTCTCGCTCTTTGCTGATTTTTTCGGCGATGCTCTTGGCGCGCTGCTCTTGCCACAGGTCTGGGTTCGAGATGAGTCGTGCTTCTTCGTACAATTTTTGGGCGACAAAGAAACCGTGCATGTATGGTCGCAGGAGACTTGTAGTTCCAACAAGGTGATCCAGTGATAGCTGCTTGAGCTGCTCGAGCGTCAAGAACTTGAAGTTGTCGTAAACGTCTCCGGACGCGCCCTTGCCAAAAGCGTTGGGGTCGTTGGGGTCTTCGGCCATTTCTTCTACGATGTTGTCGAGGAAGTGACACCATCTTGGCGCTGGGCCGAGCTGTGGTATGAAGAAGGAATGCTGTTGCCTGCCCTCATTCGCCGTCAAAAGCATACCAGTCTTTGGTACCCATTCAACGTGGTTCAGGTCTACCGAAGGCTCAACAGAGGTCCATGGCGTGCCGTCCTTTGAATCCCAGATCTTGATTACCCTCTTGTCTGCGGTCAAGATTTTAGGTTCGTCAGTCTGCGCGCCCTCGAGGTAGATAATGTTCTTGATCGGATAGCCGTATCCTTGGTCTTTCCTTAGTAGTGGTTTCGGTGATCGCAGGTCATAGAGTTGCACAATGCCGTTTGAGTCTCCTACAGCAACCTCCAAACCCGATGATGGGAATGTTAGAGCTGTGATTTCCGACTTTCCTTCAAATGCATCCGGAGGGGCAGAAAGTATGCCAACCCTGTTCCTTGATCGCGAATCCCAGTACTCGACTGTTCCAATAGAAGTGCCGAAGGCGAGGAGACCGTGCGATTGTTCGGCAATAGCACCGGTGTTGACTGCACCAGCGTCGATGCCACCCTGGAGAGCACCACCTCCAACCGTCGTCACGTCGTCCCCACCCACGTCAATCTCATAACTCCTCATAAAGCGCCCAACTTCTAGGTTCAGTCTGAAGCACTCGCCCATTCCGTCTGCATTCACACCAACGGACGGCACCAGACACTCAGCGGATCTTCGGTCGTAGATGAGGTCGCGACCGTAACGTGGTATGCGGCTCGCATAGTGGAGACCCCCACCGGTGTGGAACTCGATGCATCGATCTTGCTGGAGATGTACGCTCTTGGTAGCGTCGGAGGAGAGGAGATGGAAGGTTTGGTTCTGCGAAAAGTCAGTGCATGACGTGTGTGTGTGTGGCTCGGAAAGAACGTACGAGAGTATTGGTGTGTCTTGCAAAGGACAGGGAAAGATGAGGGAGATAGTGGACGTGTATTTGAGGCTTGTATGTGCCTGTGCTCATAACCCAGTCTCCATCCTCGCTCACACGGACACACTGGCTGGCTTCCTCAAACTCGAAATCTTGCAGCAAATCCACGCGGTTTGCGAATTCGGGGTCGTTCTTCAGACTGCGCTTTCTTTTCCGGATAAGCCACTCTGGAAGCGGGCGCGCCTCACTGCCGCTGATGGTATACACCGGAACGTTGCCTGTGGAAATCTTCATGTCGGCGCCGTAGGAAGTTTTGCGACAGGAAGCGGCAACGAAGAAGTTCGCGACGAAAGTATTAAAGTGGGCCCGCAAACCTGTATGCACAGGCCTCCGCACTACAAGGGTAGGTCGCGAGACAGGTCCGGGCTAAGAAAGGGCCCTCGAGGCGCGCCGCTTGCTTGCCGAGCCGCGGGCTCTGTTTGTTCGCTGACATCGCATACGCAGTTGCGTGCTTTTTCGTCGTCGTCGAGTCTCGCCCGGGTTTTCTTTCACATTTACCACTCGTACCGTTGGTCGAATCGGGCATTGCCGATTGCAGGGACCTCCGTCGTTCCTAAGGTGTGCATGCGGGTCGCCATGCTCCATCTTCCAACTACAGATACGCGTTCAGATCATGCCGACACGTTAGCCTTCGTCGCCCCGCCTACATCACAACCCACATCGCTTTGATAGAGACAGTCGCGCGCGACGCGTTGGGCGGACCGCAGCGGAGTTGATGGAAAAGGTGTACAGCGCAGTCTTTGGAGTGAAATTACGCCGCGAATACCACTTGAATGTCCCCTAAAGAGGAGCCGTCTCTCTAATGGAATTTCTCAAAACCTGTAATACGAATGCGCAAGCTATAGTACGTCTTGATGGAAGTGCGCGCCATCATGTGCTGACGATATACAGGGAGACTTTGAGGCTATCGCATATCAAGCCTTCTCTATCACACGCACCACCACCACCCCCACTTCCTCGAGGACGCGCGACTGGAACACGTCCGAAGACATACGCGCAGTCGAAGCCCGGCTGCGACAGGACCTGCAACTAGTCGCGCAAGATGCATCTCGGCCGTGGCTATGGCTGTTCAAGCCGACGACCGTCGACAAGCTAGAGCCGAACGATGCCGAACCCCTAGAGCTCGACGGCTATCGCCTGCACAGTATGTCGTCTTCGCTTCTTCCCAGAACACCCAGCTAACACGTGCTAGGCGAGCAGACAGGATGCACCAAGGCCATCGATCTAGTGCGACCCCCCATGCGCCCGGGCAATCCGAACACCACTGCCACCTCGACCAACTCCCCATCGACCACACAACCACAAAGAGGCCTACATGCTGGCAGCGCGAGGTCATCACAGGGCAGCAGTCAGCCTCAAGCATCCGATTCCCCTTCACCACCCGATTGTTTCACTATCTATGAGCTCTTCACATCGTCTGTCATCGCACTCATCTCGTTCAACGTCGTCAAAGATTGCAACGTGACTGCCTTGAACTACCGCACATTTGTGTCCAAGGCTTGCAAACGAGCTGACGACGATCCATACGAGACCGAAGCGCCAGCTCCTGTGCATCGCCTTACTAGCGTGAATGTACATTGGGCTAGCTCAGGCACACTCCTAGTCTCGACTTACACTGACTACAAGACTGACATTCGCTGCATCGGCGACATCTCAACACAAGCTGAAGAAAAATGGCTTACTGGCAAATGCATACGAGTTGCTCCGAATGGATTGCTCGCAACAATCTCGAGTTTTGATGATCCCCTTGATTCTATCATAGAGGAGATCGGTCTCCGTCACAGAAAGCGTACTAGACTCGCCACTCTGGAGCAAAGCATCGAGAGCTGGAAGTCGAGTGTGAAGCGTTGGTTAGGCTGGAAGGGTTATGCTTTGCCTGATCTGGAGAAGAAAAGCTCCTGGGTCAGAATACGTACGACCTTGACGAATAGCCCTACAGCCTCTAGCCCAGCTTTTGCAGGCCCAGATCGGGACGTGCTCTGGCCGCGCGCATTGTGTTTCTTTCACAGCTCAGAAGAACATGACATGACGTCCGCAGACTCGACTGTTGGAGGACATAGTATGCTAAGATGGTATGAGACACCAGAATCCATGGGCTTCAAAGACCCACTTGATGCTGCACAAGAGTGGTTTCTGGGGAAACTGGACCGTGACAAGATTCTTGAGGCCAGACGGAAAGCGAAAAAAGCGGAGGAAGACTCTGCCCGTCGTAAAGACGAACAACAGAACCTGTTTCCGTCATCGCCACTAAACGCCCGTGGTGGAGCCTATGGTGACCTGCATGCTGTAGGCGGTGTCTACCCCACCCCTCCAGATGGGGTTGCTCCTGGCACTGCAGTATCCCACAGTGACACGCCGAGCGTGTCTGGTACAGTCTCCAACGTTATCCTAGCACCTGGAGGCAGCAACCCTGCCATCAACCTCTCAGCTCCACAGGCCGACACGAAAATGGACGAACAACAGATGCCTTTGACCTCTCCCGTCGTTCCGTCCGCGCCGGACAACTTCAACGCATCCAGTGGCAACGATGACCTGTTTGGTGACATGGACGAAGACGGGTATGGAGGCGATCGTATCAACGACGACGACTTCGACTTTTTTGACGGACCAGACGATAACGACGTTGACATGCTAGACGCACCCGCGCTACCTGAAATCAATGTAGTACCTATCGACACTTCGCACGAACAAGAGTCTCAAGCCGCTGCTGAACATCCGCCTGAGGAGGACTCCTCTGACCCCTTCGCTGCGCTCGAGAGCGCGTTGGCTACAGCCTCTGAGCCTGCCATGGATGTGGAGAAGGAAGACAAAGGCAAGCAGCCAATGACCACGGAAGTGCCCTTGATCGAAAGCCCCGACCTGTCTGATGAGAAACCGGTTGCCCCAATAGCTAAAGCAAAGGTTTCGTTCTCCAAGGAGCCTACTCCACCGCTAAGCCCTAGCGCAATTTCCAAGGCACTGCAGCCATCTCCGCCCAAGAAGTTAGCATCGCACACTCGATCAAACCAACCTGTGGACATCAAAAATGATGCTCATTTCAGTCCAGTGGTTTTCAGTCGGAAGATGAGCATGTCTGATGCAAAGTACCAAGACGGACGATTCAGCGCACATCGCCCTGTGGACAGTGTCAATCAAAACTCATCCAGCCCTAGTCCCGGTCCCAGGCCTGTTGTGACGCAGACCAAAAGTCTAAGAGACATCCCTCTGCTCTCGAAGTTGCGTATCACTGTGGGTGCCGCGTCCACGAATCAGATACCAGAGATCGCATCTCTTGCTCGAGCAGCTAGTGAGGACTTGGATTCCAGTGATACATCAGAAGAATCCGATGACGATTCTGGAGAGGAAGAGGAAGCGGGAACACCCGCAGCTATCATAGGCGGCCTCATCATGCCCGCAAAGAGAAAACTACAGAGTGACGGTAACGCTACACCGCTATCTGTAACGTCATTTGCGGATTCGATGGGAGGCGACTGGCATGACTTGCATGGTCTGCAACTTGATGAGTTGAATTTGATCAGTTTCGAGCCAAGTCTATGGGACTGGTCCTTGGTCCACTTTCCTTCCCCAGTGGAACGCCGTACAGCTGGCGCGCGCTATAGCCTTCCTTCTCTGCATGCGAGCCCCGCTCAAATGCCTGATACCCCCACTTCTCAGCCTGAGATGAGTTATGAAGTTTCAGAAGAAAAGCCTTTGAGCGCCAAGGACAGTATTTCCATCACACAAATCGTGACAGATCAGATTGTAAAGACCACACTCGATCTCTTAGGAGAGGATCTACCCTTTGAAAAAGAGCCTGTCAACGGGGCAATAGCAGAGACGCGCTGGCATACGGTCATCAAAGAGATCTTCCCAGCAGCTGCAGAATGTGACCTGCCTACTCTTGCAGGTGTGCACGAAGTTTTCCAGGACTATGCTGCCCTAGCAAAAGCACAGCAAAGGCCAGCCGCGCGAAAGAACGACGGACCAGCTGTGACTGGGAGCCATCTGTATCAGATCAATGCACCATTCTTGAGGGTGCGCCGCGCAGAAACACATTGGGACTTACTTCCTCCTGCAGTAGCTTTTTGGGAACCTTTAGGATTGTCACCCATCAGTTCACCAAAGAATGTCGTTACATTCTGCATTTACCCACATAGCGATGCTCTCAGACCTTGCCTAGAGAACTTTTTGCTCAACCTTCAGCTTGCCTACGACAGCTGTAAGCTTGGTACACACAGTCGAGTCGAGACGGTTGTCGAGTTTGAAGGAGGTCTTGTACCTGTGAGGGCAAGCTCAACTGTCACACCAGCGGAGTCATTCAAGCTTCTCAAAGAGACTTGCGTCCAACTTGGAAAGCTTCTTGCCATACAGCATGCAAAGATACGCGAGCAGCAAGATTCGAAGATTGATGCGTTCATTATCTACATGATTGATCCCTTCGGCGGCCCATCCGCGTTGTGGGAGCTGTGTTCGGCTTTCTGGGCACTCTTTCAGGCTTACGGTCAAGGATCACCAGGACGACCGGACCAGCCTCAGAAGCCAGATCTTGTGCTTCAGGTCGTCCCTATGAAGTATATAGCTTCTTTCGACACTCCTGTCATCCTGGATCCTTCTACGTATTTCAGCCTTGCACGAGAAGTTTATGACCGATGCCCTCCAAGTGCACCTAGTGGAGACAAAACATCCCTCAGCATATATGCAGCGCCTGCTTTTCATCTCGAAGAAACACTTCCACGCAATATACCATTCAAGCTTATCTCCGAGCCGGCTCAGGATCTGCTTCGAGAAAACACGTACATGCACCTGGGGTACGCGATCAGTCTCGATGGCACGTGGGTGACAGCAGCTTGGACTGATAGCTGCGGCAAGTCACAAGCAGTCGTCTCGTATCACTTAGGTACACGCATGTTCCGAGAGGTCGCAAAAGAAATCTGGCAGACCACGATCGAAATTTTGCAGTCAAGGCGTGTCAATTGGCGTGTCTGCATCGCTAAAGCTGGGGTCTTGGAAAGAGAGGAATTAGAGACCTGGGTCTTCCTAATCTCATGTCCAACACAGATCAACGTATTCGTCACGTTACTCACAGCGATAGATGCGGATCCTCCGTACAAGTTTACGCCAACCATAACAGGGCCAAGCACTGCTATTGGTGGAAGTACAAATACCCCAGAATCCACACCCCAAGCTGGCGTCTCCCCCTCGGACCTGGGACCAGGTCTAACACCCGCCGCAACACCTTCCGCCGACCCTTCCGCCACGGACCCGTCCGCAGACCCCGAAGCGCGCTTAATCGACGTCACAGACGAAACATGGGGCGTGATCCTTGCTCATCGCCTTCACAACACACAGTCCACAACCCAATTCAGCCCTGCCCTTATATCCGGTCTCCTGGTCAAGCGCGGAGAAACCCAACAAACACGCAACAGCATCTCACACCCGATCCCCGATCCGGAACCAGGCCCTATAGTTGTGGCGGTAAACTTCCTCTGGATCGGTGCCGTAGGCTCAACACGCGCTGCATCCTCTCCCTTCCCACCATCGTCTTCCGGTAGTACCCCGTCCGCTGCATCCGCATCCTCAGATCTCCCTAGCCCGGGTGCGTCTACCTTGCCAAACCCATATGCTAGTAACCCGGGCACGCCGCAGAGCCCGGGACCAGCACAGGATGCGGGACAGAGGAGTACAACGAGTCTTATGTGGACGCCAACGCCGCAGACTAGAACGACAGCCGAAGGCTTGTTAAAGGAAGTGCTGGGACAGTTTAGAGCGCTGGGGTTGTTGGCGAAACTTAGAGGGATGAGGGGGACGAGGAATGGGACGTTACCTTGGCATATTGTTGCTGCTAAGAGGGGTGTTGAGGGTTTGAGTAGAATTGGTGGAGCGGTTTAAAATTTGTTTATTGGAGTTTTAAGGGTTGACTTTTGGTTATCTGGGATGTCTGGGTCTGGGGATCTGCATCTACCGAGTCTAGCATAGCGTTTGTTATATTTGGGTGTTTGTTTTATGGAGTCGGATATCACGATGGTGGTTGTTTGTGCATGTTTCCCAGTAGCATCATTATCGATTCAGCGCTTTTCGGCTATGTAGCATAATACTACGATCATTGATAATCATTTACATTTCACTCTCCTCGTAACTTTGAACATCCATTACAACATTACTAATTACCTACCTTCCTTCTAGCCCTCAATGCCCAAATGATCAACCTGCTTCACGCTTTTCCCTTGCTTGCTCTCCTGTCCCACACCACTCTCCTTTGCTTTCAAACTAGACTGTTGTGCATTTCCAGCTGCGAAAGCACTTCCACGACCGCCAGCTGCCGCATTCGCCATGCCTGTTTTTGGCTATTAGCAAATACCGGGAGAGATGAGGTGAGATGAGCAAGTACCTTTGTCATGTTTATCTTCGGTAGTGGTAGACGAGCCATCAGCATTCTGATGCGTAGTTTTCTTTTGCTTCGAGGAAAAAGCCCCAGACAGGGCACCGAAGATGTTGAGGTTTAAACCAGCCTGTGGACATATTGGCATTAATTCACGTGGAAAGGACCTTGGAGAAAGAAAAAAATCATAGGGAGATGAACGTACAGAGGCATTAGCACTGGCATGATGTTCTTGCACTTCTCTGCTCCCTGCGGCTTGACTTTGCTGCTGCACCTGTTGCTTGGAGGCTTCTTGCTTTGATACGGCTTGTGTCATGTTGGAATAGCGCAAGTGATTTATTCTTTCTTAGAAATATGGAGTCTTCAACGGGTATTGCGATGGAGATGTATGTTATTAGTGACTTTCGAAAAAAGTTGCGAGGCTGGTAACGGAGGAAGCTCCGCGGACCCGGCGGTACTGCATCTTTTGTACATGTGCCTTCCAAGGTTGGTGTTGAGGTTTGGGTCGTATGACGTCATAGCTATGAGCGGAAGGCTGGGGTGAGGAGCAGGTTTTAGCATGAACAGACGCAGGGTCTAGGATTCGCTACAGTACAGGGATAGTGTTTGATATAGGGCCGAACAAATGCATGTAAAGTATATTGGAAAGGGTCCAAGAATTCGATGTGGGGTGTCTTTTAGTTCAACAGTGCTTCTACTATGTTGTCCCAGAAACCTAAATCGTAGACATTCTCCACCGCTGCCAAATTCCATACACGTTCAAAGCTGTCTTCTTTGGCTACCGACTTGATGCGACTCGGGAGAGTTTTGGGTGGTTGGCCCGTTCGGGTGCGGATAAGTATGTGTCTGCTTTCTAACGGCCAGGTTGTTGGGGGTTCTTCGTCTTCTGGCGGGGTTTCTGGAGGGGTTGGGAAGGGCGAAGTTGATGAAGAGGAATGCGCTGAGGCGTGTGCATGATTGTGCGCGGGCGATGTTGAGCGGTACTCTTGCATGGTATCCTCCCGTCTGTGCCCCAGGAACACAACACCGTCCGCCATGTCGTCTCGCCAGTCTGCCCACTTGCCGCTCTCATTCGTGGTCATGCCAGCCCAAATCAGATAGATGTGATATGCAAGTAGACCTAGTGGAAGTGGCCATGTGAGAAGAGCTAGTAATCCAACTCCAGATCCACGAACCCCTCCCATGTCGAGGTAGATGGTTACATAGATGAGGAAGTAGTGAGTTTTCTTATCGAACCAACTAAACCAGCTGTTTGCATCTACGCCATTTTTGGGCTTGTATCTATACCATCCTTCATATTTCGAGTAGTGCTTGTTGACCAGTGGTGAAAGGGCGTAGTAAGCCAGATATGCTCCGTAGGCAATCAGTACACCAGTCGACAGCAACAAGGCTAGGAACCACTTGTAGTTCCCTCTTCCTAGACAGTTGTTGACCCATATGCAATGGTGATCCATTCTTGACACGCATGTCTTGCATATACTGCAATGCTTGCTCCGTGCCGGCTTCAAGAACTTGCACGTCCGGCACGGTGTTCCTGGATAGTACAACACCCTGTCATATGGGTAGTGTCGCATCTGCTCGGCATGGTTGAGCGAGTTGATATATGTCTGGCTGTTTCTCTTTGCGCTAAGATACAAGAAGACGTATGGTTGTGGCAGCAGAAAGAAAACCAGAAGCTTATGATACGGTCGAAGGAGGTGCCAAACAGTAGGCAGGAATAGCGTCGCGCATGCAGTTACGAGGCCGAGGAAGAATATGACGACCAGTGGGTGTTTATCATGCATGATGTAGTTGCCCAGGCGGGAACCGCCATTTGTGATGCGGCCATTTGTGAGGGCGAGGTCGAGTTTGCGGAACACGGATGGGATGTGTATGAGGAAGAGGCGGTTGAGAAAACCTATAGGAGTGTTCCTAAATGCGTTAGAGCAATGGCTGTGACTCGGGGAATAACTGTGAATACCTGAAAGCCGGCAGTCGTCCGAAGAAAGCTATGAACGTGACCAGGGACACTGTGATGGTGAAGATGATGATGGTGCGCGCGACTGTCATGATGAAAGGAGTCTAGAGGCGATACTATGCATGGCGGAACACAGGAACAAGATGTGACTCGAAGCTACAATCGCATCATCATGTCGTGGCTTTGTCTTGTTGATCTATACACACAGATGACAGCGCGCAAGAGATGGATAGGGCTGAGTAGCCGCGGCCGCTAAGCGACCCCGCGTGAATCAAGCGGCCCATGTGAGCACGCGTCGCAGCTCAGCCAACGCGTCGTTCCTCTTCCTTCACCCGCGCCTCGAACCGACAACACCAACCCACTATGGCTGGGCCGACCGTATACAAGCATGTCGCCGAGGAATTCGACTTCAGTTCGGGGGCGGGGATATTTGCGGGCAAGAAGTTTTGGGTTGCGCAGCGCGTGCCGTCCCGCTCTCGGCTGCTGGACGACATAAAGGCCAACGGTGGAGAGATTGTACAACTGGAGAAGATGGCAGATTATCGGATCGCGGACCATTTCAGACCCACTACCTGTGCACCAGGAACGATATCGTACACATTCGTAGAGAAATCTATCAAAGACGGAGAGCTTCAAGATCCTGCAAACCACCGAGCGGGACCGTCGTTAGGTGAGGCGCGTGAACCTGGTTCTGTCTACCGACCCACGAAGAGTGGAAGGGCAGCGTATACCGCAGAAGAGGACAGGATACTCTACAAATGGGTGCGCGACGCCCAAGAGGCTGGTGCCCAAATTGGTGGAAATGAAATATACATGCAGCTAGAAGCCGAGGTATGCATCAACAAAGAACCGTTTCTGGGTCTGGTCGCTAACGAACCCCAGTACCCGCGACATACATGGCAGTCGTGGCGCGACCGCTATCATAAGCAACTGAAGAATCGTCCACCCTCCGCTTTCAACATACCTGATAACGCTCCCCCGTCTCCACCTTCCGATCAACCAAACGAACGTATGCCTCCAGCTCCAGCCTCCCTTATGACTACGAAACAGCAAACACCTAAAACAGAGCAGACTTCAAATACGAAAAATCTTAGTCGGAAAGGCAAATCGAAATCGAAAAGTGACTACAGCGTACAAGAACTGGAGGGCATCTTCACGGTAGATGACTGGCTAGAGCTGTATGCTTTCGCAGACCTTATCGATGATTCAAAAGGAACGGATGAATACGACACTACTTGGGCTCAATGGGCCGAATTCAAAGGTGAACAGACTGGTGAGCAGTGGCAACAGTATTATGAGAAGGTGGTCTATCCGCAATGGTTGGTTGATCCAGTTTCAAAAAGAGAGAAAATCAAGAGGCAGGTTGAACGGAAACACGATGAAGCACGCGCGAGTGAAAGTCAGCCAGTCACGAAAGATCCCTTGGATTCTTTGAAGAACTCAGCAAACATTGCGTCAGAAATCAAGGCGCCGTCATCATCAACTGCCCATCCGGAACCTTCGAACTTTTACGAAGATCAGATGGAAAGGTTTACAAAGCGATTGCGAGAGAACGATTTCGCAGAGCAGGAAGAAGAGACGCGACTAGCGCCTCCTACCAAACGGCGAAAGAGTGAAAGCGCAACGCCTACACGAGAGGATTCAGTGGGATCAGATAAAGAAGCCGGCACACAGCACCAGCCTGTCGAGATATCATCTGCTGAGAGCTCTCAGTCGACTTCACATTCAGAGGACGCTGAAGCGCTGATGCAAGAGCAAATTCGATCAGAAGCGCTCGATTCAGGGGACGACGACGCTACTATGGTCAACTTGGAAGAGGACCCTGAAGAGAAAGAGGTGGAGAGCATAGAATCAGATGATTTTCCGGATACTGATCAATTACATCCGCCGCCTCCAACAGACGATGTCGTCAGCGACGATCTACCTTCAAACACACCCACACCACGTGCCGCGCGCCAGAAGGTGTCCTACTTCGACACTCAAGCCATCCTCTCGCCGACACAAGACAGCTTATCAAGACCACATGATCACGCCTACGGTACAAAGCCTCACCAAAGACAGCGGTCCTCATCACCCTTCCAACAACTAGAATCCGATGCTTCCACGACCCAGTCCTTGGAAGAGTTCCGCCGTTCCCTCCAGGAAGAGGAAGACCCCGACCAGACTCTTTACTCTCAGGCACCTCCACAACCACTCCGCCTATCCTCATCACCTGCCCCATCTTCAGCGTCTTCAACATCCACAGACTCGGGAGACCCTGATCCACCCCTTACAGGAGACGAGATTGACGAGTTTTATGAAGACCGAAACGAAGAGGGATGGTCTAACGATTACATCAGTAAAGCACTCAAACGTACGCGGATGCGTCCAGAACTAGCAGTCAGAGTCCTTGAGGCATGGAAAGACGGGAATCCTCTGCCGAATGCAAGAGGCATCTGGAGCATTGAAGACGATGTCGCTGTAGAGAGTGGCGATGGACTCGAGCTGGCGATGCTAGCGAAGAAACATTCGCTAGATGGATGGGGTGGGATCACAGAGAGGTTGTTATTCCTGGAGGCTTATCGGAGCTACAATTAGCTCAGGTCAGTATAGAGCTTTGATTCGTTGTCTTCCAGTAAACCACAGTGAGGTGTTTTGGCGCCTTTCATTACATTGGACAGGGCGTTCATATATACCCTTAGCGCAGCATAGTACCTAGGTACTGTTTCTCCTTATAACGCAGTTTCAACGAAGATATCGTGTGGCTTTGTCGCTCATCATAGTTTCATGAATGATCTCTACCTATTAGAGTGTGTTTACGTCGCCAGACTATTGAGGTGTGGCAATGGGGCTGTGTGTGGCTTTTGAGTGAGAAACGACTACACTGCAGGTAACATACATGGTAATCGCTGCGACTTGTACGACACTAAATCCGGCCCCCACCCCAAGAGGGGCCAGAGACATGCGCTTATGCGACCGCGCGCACATAGTTAAATCCAGACCGGAGAAGAGCACCAGGCGAAGCGCAGGTTGCCTTGAATCGATGCTTACCGATCAAGCTTTGCCGCCGAGCCGTTTCTTCTTGCAACCAGCTTATGCACAGCAATGGCGATGCACCAAATTTCTGGGCTATGACGATATCCTCCAGTTCCATGTAATACAGTAAGGCAAACTATAGATAAGCGTATAGCGTTTTATATCTGTAACATGAGCTGACCTGTGGACGCGTTGCTCGTTCTACCATTCAGACTTACAGCGGGTACTTCTCTTCAGCCTCTTGCGGATGTCTAGCGTTACCTATTGTTTTCGCACACTCAACGTTCACGAATGCCCGCACCCAAAATGCGACCATACCACATATTCCGTACCTGGATATGGGAGTTACTTGCTCTCGTACTGGCGATCGGCCTGATTAGCGCCATTACCGCCCTCCTTGCGATATATGACGGTAAACCGGCACCTCATTGGGGTTTCCGCCTCAACTTCAATGCACTGCTCGCCCTCCTGTCGACAATTCATCGCGCTATGGTGGTCGTCATTGTTTCCCAGGTCATCTCACAAAGGAAGTGGGAGTGGTTTGCAGGAGATCGCACTCGCCCCTTGGCCGACTTACAGCAATTTGACTCTGGAAGCCGTGGCAGCTTTGGCGCTCTGCTCCTTATACCAACCGTCATATGGAAGGATGTGGTGACGCTGATTGCTGCAATTGTCCTGCTCGCCTCTTTTCTGGTAGGCCCATTTGTTCAACAGGCCAGTCGAACGTCAGAGTGCTCATTTCCTGCACTGGGGATGAATGCGTCGATCCCTTTTGCTCACTATGTTCCTCGGAGCGGTGGCTATTACGATGTAGCTGAATCGCCTACAATGGCTCCTGGTATACCGACACCTGACATTGCTGCAGCCATTCTGTCTAGCATCATGGCTCCCGAAGGCGTGGAAAATCAGATCAACCCTAGTTGCAGCTCAGGCAACTGTACGTTTCCGGAAGGTGATCCAGAAGGACTTCAAAATGGGAACATCGGCGATGATAACCTTGTGTCATACTCTACAGTTGGGATGTGCAACATTTGTGCTGATGTCGTCTCTCTTGTTACTGCTAAGGATTTGGACGCGACAACGAACGAGACTCGTTACACACTACCCAACGGCTTCAATTTCACTTACGACAGACCTCAGACTGGTACCAAGGTGGCGGAAATTTGGCCAACTGAAGACCTCGAATGGATGGCAGACCTGTTCACGCCAGAACTAAGGGCTGCATCTAGGTGGGCCTACATCAACGCCACTTTCATGGGAAGAGGGAGAGGCTCCATCCAAGATAATGCCAACTTGACTGCAGTCATGTGTAGTTTGTACCCTTGTCTACGTACATACACTGTTTCTATTACCAACAATCAGCTCGACGAAAGAGAGATCAGATCAGACGTCTTACAGGCTGATACAAGAGGTCAGGAATCCAACCCTAATGGGATCGAGAGCTGGAGTAGTTCGAACAACCCATGGTATCACTACACGGCGGTCAAAGCCCCATGCCGCATTGGAGAGAACGTTTACGACGAGGAAACCATGTCTTCTCTACCTAATGCAACCAACTTGACTCTATACAGTCTTGCTAATACCACGGGAGACGATTTAACATCTTTCCGATATGAATATCGAAATGTTTCAGCCCCCGAGCAATGCATATATCGACAGAATGCACAATTCGTGCAAGCAATTTCGACTGTATTCCATAATGAAATCTTCGTAGGAGACTGTAATCTCTACAAAGGTCTGCAATGCTACAAGCACAACTATGAGAAAAACTCTGGCATGCTTACAGACCTTGGCGCTGGCGCTGTACTGCGTACGTTATTCAACGATGGAGCAATGCATTTCCATAATGTCAATTACTGGTTCAACTCATTCACGAATGCCATGACCAGCCGGTTCAGGTTTGAGTACGGCACCAATCCTTTCAACGACACAATACGTAGCGCTCTTCTTTCTGATAGAGGCCTGGATCCTTCTTTAAGTTAAGATCTCCCATCGGGTCTAGCACAGGGCTTGGCGTGGCAGACGACTACATGCATTGCTATGCACATCTACTGGCTTCTGTTGCCTGTCATTCTCACTTTCGTCACGGTTCTTCTCTCAGTCTGGACGATAATTACCAACTGGCGCCACCGTCACGATAGGCCAGTGTGGAAGGAAAGCATCCTACCACTAATCTTGTACGGCCACAGAATCGAATCTACAGATTCAGGTGCTTTCGCTACTCGCTCGCCTAGAAATGAAGTAGCAGACAATATAGAGATGACTCACCGAGGTAGTTACCGGCAGCCGAACGATACGAGTGATGGGGAGGACCATCTAGTGCACGAAGAAGGAAAGTTGATGGAGGCAAGTGAAATGAAGGAAATCAGCAAGAACATACCAGTCACCTTCCGATGGCCCAACAGCGCAGAGACGACATCGACGGCTGCTCTGCAGCAGGAAAAGCTTTGGCTGAGACGACGGAAACCACAGGCTGTAGAAGCCGACTCGCTGCTTGGAGGAAATGAAGAGTCACTGCATCCCGCTTCGAAACTAAGCACCATCTCTACGAACACTTTCGAGATAGACATACATAGTGAGCAGCCGCAGCATGTCTCGAGGCCTACGATAGCGTATGGGCGATTGTGATACACACGAATGCGCTGTGTTTTCTATTGTTATTGTACGATAAATAAAGAATCAAAGTCTGGCAAAACTACGTTTTTGGGTTTAGGACAACAGACGCAACTTTGTAAAACCAAAGACATAAACTTTGGGGATACAAAAGTTTCCTACATCCGTGCTTCCGCAATGCCCAGCAGCCCGAAGGCAAATAACCGTGTGTCGACGATTGTCTCATGACTTACCGTCTAGTGCATCTAGTGCATGTAATGCATGTCGAAGAGATGTAAGAATGCGAATGTCGATAATCAATTTATATCAGAATGTAACATGGCCGAAGTCTACGACAGCGAGTCACATCTGCAGAAATCTACCACAAAATTGCAACTCACCTGTGACAATGCGTAGCAGATGATGACAATGCTAATGCTCTCTCTCTCATCCAGTCGATCCGGCAGTCGCACAGAAATCCCTTGATGGTGGTTAGAAGCATGACAAGTGCATCTTGGAGAAAAGCGTACATGTTCTGATTGGACTGTCTCAAAGCTCACATGCCCGAACGGGGCACTCAAAATCGCCAGTTGTTGTACAAATACCGCGGAGTCGCGGTAGTCTTCGCATGAGTCCTGCAGTAAGCCGAACCTTTTGGGAATCTAGACACACCTTAACGCCAATTTCCAGGGGTAATTACCAGCCGCCGCCTCTCCTGCCACCACGACGGCCTCCTCGTCCGCCACGGAAGCCGCCACCACCATATCCGCCTCCTCCCCAGCCTCCACCGCCGCCTCGGTCCATGTCGCCGCCCGAGGAAGAGTAGTTGTTGCGGCTCGGTGGCGCGCGGTCCTTGAGCTCCTTGGTTAGGCTTTCGTAGGACTTGCGCATTTGAGCGTAGCCAAGATGCATCTTGCCGTAGAAATGGTCTGCTAGACGCCGATCATTATCAAGACGGCTGAGATACGCACCGCAAACGTCGCAGACTTGGAGCTTCTGATGACCGGATGGTCCTCCAGTATCTGACAGAGCCCGAAGCTCCCTCTCGCGCTCCTCTTTCTCGGCTTTCTTGTAACGGACTTTGGTGAACTCTTGCACGGCCATGTTGACCATACCTTCTTCGCCCATAATCTGGATCTCGAGCATGCCGGCGTCGATGGATTTGGTAAGTTCATTTATCGCTTTGAGCTGTCCACTGTTAGCCGTGGAGCAGAATCGAAAGCCGGAGTTACTCACGAGAGCGTTGGTTTGCCGGATCTCTTCAGGCGTCTTCTCCAAGCGACGCTGGGCAGTGTCTATCTTGCGGTTGCAGCTGTCAATATGATGCTGCATATCGCGCATGTAATCAAACTCGAAGCCCCACCTGCGCTTCTGGTCCGCGTCTGCCTCCTGGTACTCCGTCTTGAGCGCCTCGTTGTGGACCTTGGAGCAGGGACCCAGTTCATTCTTGGTGTTGGTGAAGAGATCATGGGGACAGTTGCCTACGAGATACGAGCGACAGACTTTGGGGTCGGTGATGCTGAGTTGGGGCGCGCGCTGGTCGGTTCCGCTCATGAGCTGTTCGCCCATAAGCTGCTCTATAGTCGCGTTAGCATATGACATATGATAGTGGGAAAAGAACCAGAGAGCCTACCAAGCAGCCTGCGCGTCTCTGCGGCGGCCATGATGTGTATATTACGGTATTGCGCGGTTGGGTCGTGATGTGGAGAGCTTGGAGGTGAGTGATAGCCAAAAGAAATCGCGACCGCGGCAATGCCAAGTACTCACGTCAGCTGGCCAATCACATGTGGGGCGCCTTCACTTCACACGTTGGCCGCGGCATCCAACACGTATCGTCAGTCGACAAAGACACATTTCGCGTAGAGAGCGCTACAATGCTGCGATGCTCTCGTCTTTTTTCTTTCTTTTGCTCAATGCCTTGATTGCATTCGTCTCTGCAGGTGCCGACTACAGTGAGCGACTCCTGCTTCGGCCCCTTCCCCAGGACACTCTTCTGGCCTCTTTCAATTTCCGAAGCAACGAAAGCGCGCCCGCATTCGAACAGCAAAACTTCCGATACTTTCCGCGATCTTTTGGACAGATCTTGCAACATGCGCACACGAGGGAACTACATTTAAGGTTCAGTGTTGGACGTTGGGATGCCGAGAATTGGGGACAGCGGCCGTGGAACGGCGCAAGAGAAGGAGGCACTGGTGTTGAGCTGTGGGCGTGGGTAGAGGCTGACACTGAAGAAGAGTATATGAATTGCATCAAATGGACAAAGAACTCATACTGATTGACCCAGAGCATTTGCACGATGGTTGAAGCTGACCAACGCTCTGTCGGGCCTCTTTTGCGCCTCTATCAATTTTATCGATGCTACCAAGACGATACGACCGGTCATGTCATTCAATCCTGAAGGCCAGCACGGTAACTCCTCTAATCTTCATCTCCTCCACGGCACGCTGCCCCACGAAGTCGTCTGCACGGAGAACCTTACACCCTTCCTTAAGTTACTACCTTGCAAGGGCAAGGCAGGTGTGTCCAGCTTACTGGACGGACACAAGCTGTTCGATGCTTCGTTCCAGACCATGGCTATCGATGTACGCCCAACATGCGAAGAAGGTAGCTCCAGTTGTTCGATTGAGATGGAGCAAAGCGTGGACATGGTCTTGGACATTGCGAGAGCCAAGCGCCCAAGAGACAACCCGATTCCACGACCTCTGCCGATCAGCCAGATGGAATGTGATACATCCAAGCCGTACAATGGCCACGATACTTGTTACCCTTTGAACAAGGGTACTGAGCCTGGCTGGACACTGGAAGAGGTCTTTGGAAGACCACTTAGGGGAGCATGTCCGTTGGCAGACCAAGCTGAGGGCGAGGCAAACAATGTATGCATCAACACACCGCCGGAACGTACACTCGAAGTCAAGACAACAGGCGAATTCACCGAGTCAAGACTAGCATCAGACACGCTCCGATGCTACAAGCTTCCTACTGGCGCAGACTTCGACCTTGTCCTACCCGAACAGAAGATGATGACTGGCCTTGTCCGCCCTGATCCTCTCGTTTTCGCCGCCAGGTCTATAAACGGCCATGGCCAGGAACGGGGTAGCACACAGTCAATCATCAAGAACCCGTCCACCACCAATGCCGTTGAGATAGTATATCTAGAGTCTCTACCATGGTTCATGAAACCCTACCTGCATACTCTCCAAGCCCACGTCGACACCACAGACGAAAGCCCCATCAAGGAGACCTACTATCGACCAGCGGTTGACCGCGAGCGCGGCACCCACCTCGAATTGCGCTTGGTCATCCCACCAAGCTCTACCCTCACTCTAACCTATGATTTCGAGAAAGCGATTCTACGTTACACAGAGTACCCACCAGATGCGAATCGAGGCTTCGACGTCGCACCTGCTGTCATCCGTATCCTTTCTCCCGACTCAGGAGACAACAAGGGAATCTATGTTCGCACTACTTCATTACTTCTCCCCCTTCCAACACCAGATTTCAGTATGCCGTATAACGTAATCATTTTGACCAGTACTGTCATGGCGCTGGGCTTTGGCAACATCTTTAATTTGCTTGTTCGCCGCTTTGTGGGTGTGGATGAGGTGCCTAACATGGGTGCTGGGGGGCTCAAAGGGATCATTTTGGGTAAGGTGGCTAGGCTCAAGGGTTTGCTAGGAAGAGGCTGAGGGTTTCCTGTCAAATGATATTCAAAATTCGTACACATCGTTGTTCCCTGATTTACGTGACCACATGTTTCATGTACATCAACTTATTTGTGTTCACCGTGACGCTCACACGTCTCCAAAAATTGGAATAAAACACCCTGCTCAGCTTTTTGAGGTACTTGGTAAATATTCACGTTGAAGGTATTCGTAAGACGCTGAATACCTCGAGTACATATGTAATCAAGTATTTCTACTTCTACATATACTATCTATTGTAAACACCTTGAATAAGCTCCTTAGTATGCAGACAAGGAATGTCTACTTTTTGTGTCAAGGACATGCTTGCGATTTTGTCTTCATGGTAGACAGGCGACGCTTTGAAAGAAGGATCATGTAACATGTTTGGACGCATTCGCATTTTCCTAAAATTCTATGTACACTCTAATAGTAATTCGCTAGCTATTGTAGCTCATTGGGTATCGTTGTTGGGCCGTTCGTGACTCCGTGCGCCAGAAAGGGATCCGCATATCCCTGTATGCTGCTGTGCTCGCCTCACGTTCTGTCTCCTCACAGCCTATTTCCCACTCTCTACCCCCCAGCTCTAAGCGCCATAATTCCGGAAGTTCTCACAAGGCAGGTAGTTGTTCTCGATAAACGCCGTGTCTAGCCTGATTCCATACGCGCATTCCCATTCCTTTTCGGTGTCAAAGGGAAAGATTTTAGCTTTCACGGTACCCTTGACTGTCTCGATCGTGTTGGGACTCGTCGTCAGGCTAGTATTGAAAAGACGAATCATGTTGTCGCACGTCTTGCCGTCTGCGAATGTTACTTGGTTCGTGACGTTCATGAAGAAGCCAATTGGGTAAACTTCCTCAGTAGTCAAGGAGAACCGCGTGCTGACGAATGCAGCGCTAGAATTGGAACTCTTTGCGCTGAACGAGGTTGTTCCTGGATCCTTGGCATCGGGTACAGCACTGTACGCGTCACAGGCGGGCTCGAAAGAAGAGGGGTAGGTCTTGGTTCCGTAATCTGCCGCACCTTTGAGAGCGATTGCGTTCTCGGCGGACATGAGAAGTGATGGTGCCCACTTGAATGATGTCGTATTGTCGCCTAGTAGATCCAGGAAGGGGAATTCAATGCCACTACGCTACTCATCGTTAGCATGTTTGCGATCTAAGTTTAGGGGCATCTCGTACCGAAAAATCGGGTATCTGGTACCCGAAAGCTTGTACTTCGTGATCATGTACTGCCTGGAGTACAGCTGGATACATTCCTTCAGGAAACGAAGGAAGGAGATGTCGGTATGCATGTTCCAAGATGCGGTATTGCGACGGAATGAGCTGACGTGCAAGCTCCAGGGATATCGGTAGTACCGAAACTGTGCCGTTCAACGTTCCCGTCGCGTTCATCGGGTATATTGACGCAATAGGATTTGGCTGGTCAACCGACTGACAGACAGGCTGAACAATCTCTTGCGGCGCTTGTGGAGTAGCGACCGTAGTGCTGGCATAGCGCATAGCGAGCAATGCAAAGAAGCTGAGGAAGAAGTATTGCCATTTCGATTGTTGAGCCGCCATCTTTGGTCGTTGTATCGAGAGGAATGCGAGTACCGGATGGCACAAGAGTGCGAGGTCCAAACATGTGCTTATCATGATTCCTGAGTTTCCGCAACGGACCGATATCGTAGCTACGGTAGTACCACGCGGGAGATGATCATGTGAAAGAATAGATTGTGCAAAAGCGCCATCGGCGTAGGAGAGGTATTTTTCAGCTACATAAGAGAGCCATACCAACCGGCAACGCATGAATCCGCGCCACTAAGAGTGCCGCAAGAAGATTCTTACTGGAACACAGATACCCGCAGGTCGCGGGAAGACAGACGCCGGATGAATCAGTACCTGACCGCACATCATCCTCGCGTCGCGCTGTCCTTTGGGCAGTCTTTCCACGACAAAACGTGCTTAGTGCCATGGAAGCATCAGTTTCCGAGACGCAGATCCATCATGTGGAGGTAAGCTACCGAGGGCTAGGGTGCGCCCTGGCGCGTGCAGTTGCTGTGAGCGTAAGCACGGTCCGACTGAAGCTGCTTAATCTCAGCGCCGCGCTGTGTGGGAGCGTGTAATGTTGCCTTTTGAATGTTGGACGGTGCAGAGCGTGTGTCAAGGAGACATCTCCGGAGTTTCATCGGCTTCGAGATGAACTTGGGCCCGACCGCACGTGCACGCTAGGCGCTTTAAGGCTGGTATCGGCGGATGCCGACTGCCGAATCCTTGCTCTCGTCGTTCTCTCCACACCATGTAGATTCCTGCCTCAGCACGAGAATGCACTTTCTGAATCCAGTGCTTCCGTCACATGGTCATTGCCTCGCGAGGATAAAGAACTGGAGACGAGGAGTTATTAAGATTCGCATTACTATAAGGTTACACAGTGCCATTGCCTCCATACTGAGTGGGTATACAGAGAATCTCATACGTTGCCCTGTCGACTTTGCAGGTACTGCTCTACTGTCTCGTCATTCATATTATCGATCTCGGCCGTCATCGACCTGTTTGGTGGCTGCGATGAGCTGCTCCTCCGACTTGAGGCCTCTGAATCAGACGATGACGACGAGTTACCGAAGCCCAGCGCTGCGTACACTGCAACCACGGAATTTGCAAGATTCGAAGCAGCGGTCGTTGCTTGGCTGATGTAGCTCTGGTCTTCTTGTGATTTCCCGTCATCCTCGACCGCTCTTTCTGCTGTCACACCATTTGTGCCTTCAGGTTGCTTTGGAGGGGCATGGTCCCGCTCCACTGTCAATGGTTGAGGTTGTGAAGCTCGTCGTTCAGCTTCTTCAGCAGCACAAACTTTCGTCAATTCATCATGGCCTGTACTCTTCTGTTTCGGTTGATCGTCCGTAGCCACGGCCGTTGGTGCACTTTCTCTCCTCTTCTCCTTCTCCAGCGTATCATCCAGTTCCTTGCCAAACAGCAACTTGAAGAAGACCACGAGAAGCACATCCGATGTCCTCCGATTCTTAAGCACATATCTCAAATGATGCGTTTTTTCATCCACGTACTTGGCCACACTGATGGAGAAACCCGGCAATCTTAATGAGAAATTCGCAAAATCAAGATGCGGATTAAAGAAGTCAGCGTGGTACATGCGGCCCTTTTCAAACGTGAAAGCTGAGAGGGCTTGTTCGTCAAGATAATGCTTCCGCCTCTTTTTCCACTTCGAAGGCATAGACGAAGCTTTGCGAACTTCCTTGCCGCTTCCTGATGCACCCTCCTCTATCACGTTGTCTGTTTCTTGGCTAAGATTTGCGAGTTGATCTTTTGCTGGCACTTCGCTGGTCCGGTCTCCAATCCTGAAAGCGAAGAAACTCGAAAGCGCGGGTCCGTATAAATATGGCTCGTCGGAGTATGCATCTGAATAAAGCCCAGGATCAAGCATACTTGTAGCGATCTTCATCGCGTACCTGAAGCCTGGCGGAAGTTGGTGTTTAATTGAGTGACCGTAATCGAAGCCCATCACCAGATCAGAGCCAGACATGTCTTGTTTGGGCACAAAGGAGTAGGCAATGGAGTACCTGTCAGAAGTATGTTGTGGGTGGTCGAAGTAAGACGAGGAAGCTGGGGAACTACGGGGTAGGCCATGGTAATCTTTGATCCGGACGCGAACCCATGCGTCTACAAGTTCGCTTTCAACATGTGTTGGGTCTGCGCCGTTGACCGACACTTGCTCGTGCTCCGATGTGTTGTAGGACGGTCCGGCGGTTACTACTAACCATCAGCGTTTCGAACGATCACGTTTACTTGGCAATCACGCACCTTGTAAGAGATACTTGTCCCTTGCCTCAGGGTCTACACCGTTACCCGACATGATGGTGAACTAGTGCAATAGCCGCAATTGGTCTATCGGCGAAGAAACCCGGTGGAGCTGACCTGCCAGGTGTAGAGGCTGGGAAGCTTATGTATAGTCACAGACATTCTCGCACTGATTAAACAGCCACGCACCATCGTAGCTCCTACATAAATCAAGATCGATCCCGCGGCACAGTGTTGGTGACGACCAAACCCAGCCACGAGTCCATGACGTTATGATCACGCGTCGTCCAATCAGAATTTGTGGCTAGATCAGCCCCAAGTGGCTGGTCGGCCCTACTCCTCCATCCCTTCTTTCTCTGTAAGCATCATGAGCATCAAGCGGGATAATGCATACGATAGAACGCTATTGTTTTCGATACTGTTTAGGTGTATACAAGCTTAAGCCTGACCAAGGAGCAACTTGCTTTTGTCCGCCAAATTTTGTGCCAGTTGTGTCATCGGCACGTTCTGCATAACATCAAACACCGAAACTTCTACTGCCATTTCGCGAGCAACCCAATTCCTCACCTCAACCGCGACCAAACTATCGACGCCGTACGCGCTCAATGGCCTGCCGGCATCTATATCGGCCTCGGGTATCATCATCAAGCTCGCAAGCCGTTGCACGATGGCTGCCGTTATAAGCTGCACAGCCTCTTCATTCGCGGTGCCGCAACGCGTCAACTCCTCCCGTAGCGAAATAGCCTGCCCGGCATTGGCAGAGGAGCCAGCAGCGACGTTGCGTAGGGCAGCAAACCGCGCGTCGGCCATCCAGTACCACGCGTCATCGTGCTCATTGAAGGGCAGGCCGCACATGACTTGCCCGGGGTGCTGTGAGGGGCCTTCGATGGCGGTCGCTAGCAGACCATGCAGGTCCGAGGTATGCATGACCTTCAACCCCATCGCCTTGACATGATCAACGTACTCGTCATGCTCAGCAACAAATCCTACCGACAGAAGATAGCCAATGTCGATAGTCATTGCGGGTAGGCCTTGGCCGCGTCGGAACGAAGCGAACTCGTCTTGGAAGTTGTTACCACATCCGTAATTACCCTGTCCGCGATGGCCCATAACACCAGCTAGCGAAGACAACATCACAAAGAAGTCCATGTCGCGCGGTAGCAGCTCATGTAGATTCCAGGTGCCGTGAACCTTAGGACCGACTGTTGTACGTACGTGGTCGGCGGTCATCTTGTCGAAAAGGCAGTCTTGCAGGACCATGGCACCATTCGCACATCCCTTGATCGATGGCAAGCCCTTGGCCTTTAGGTCGTTCAAAACTGCTTGCAGAGCGGCCTTGTTCCCAACGTCGCAGTCATAGGCCAGCGGTGTGACGTCGTACGTATTTCGCAACTGCAAAGCGAAAGCTTGGTTGTCTGTACCGCTGGCAGCAGAGCGGGAGAGAAAGACCAAGTAGCGTGCGCCTTTCTCTGCCAGCCACCGCGCGATCTCACGCGTAATTCCACCTAACCCAGCAATCACGTACGTCGCGTCAGGGTGGATGCTTACACGAGGAACCCGAGGTACGGCACGAACGACGTCCGCATCGTCCACACGGACGATCACCTTCCCCATGTGCTTTCCTGCCTGCATATGGCGAAACGCCTTCTCGACTTCAGCCATCGTGAAAATCTGAAGTGGCGCAATAGGCTTGATCGATCCATCATGTATCATTTTCGTGGTATCTTGCCATAGCGCTACGGCACGAGGGGTTGGATTGTTTTCGAAGTCAAGAAGATTGACGCCAATATAGCTCTTGTTGTCCAGCAGGGGCTTCATATCGAGACCGGTATTGGCGAATAGATCTGCTTTCCCAATTTCCAAAAACCGACCAAATTTTGCTAAGCAGTCGGTCCATGATAGACGTAGAGCCTCACCAGCCAACGAGTTCAGTACCAAATCAACCCCTTGACCGCCAGTAGCACGCAATACGCCCTTCACGAAGCTGGTGTCGCGACTGCTGAAGATGTGATCTTCAGAGATTCCGTACTGCTCAACGAGCAGTTGTTTCTTGGTGTCTGCGCCGACCGTAGCAAATATTTCAGCACCTTTAGCTTGCGCAATCATGATGGCAGCTTGTCCGACGCCACCAGCAGCAGCATGAATCAGAATCTTCTCGCCAGCGACGATGCCACCCACGGTTACCAGGGCATAGTAAGCCGTGAGGAAGATGAGGGGCATCGAGGCGGCTTCCTCGAAGCTCATTCCCGATGGAGCACACATAGCGCCCTTGGCTGGAAAGCGGACGTATGTGGCGAAAGTGTCACAAGATGCCGTCATCACTCTGTCGCCGACTTTCATATCCGTGACAGCGGATCCAACACGAGTGACGATACCCGAGGCATCAACACCTAGCTTGTCCTCGGCCAGATTACCGAGTGCAACGAGAACATCCTTGAAGTTGAGACCTACAGCCTTCACTTCAATCTCGATCCAATCCTCAGGCAGTGGCGTGTGGTACATCTCATCCTCTTCCCACTGGAAGGTGTCAAGCAGACCGGGTGTCTTGATAGTCAGCTTAAGGGGACGTCCGCAGCCTATGAATGGCACCATCTCAGGATCGCCCTTGGCTTCATACTTGCGTAACGATCCATCAACTTTCAGAGTTCGCTCGACGCGCGGTACGTAGACCATGTCTCCACGCGCGGCGAACTCGCCCTCTGTGCTATCACCGCGAATATGTGCAAGGGCAACCTTGAGTACAATCTGGGACGCTTTCTCAATGTTGACAGTGGTTGGTGGATCCAAATCGAGACAGGCAAGGCGGACGCCAGCGTCTTCATTACGAATTGCTCTTCCGAGTCCAACCATAAGACTGTTCATAGGGCAAGGGGTGTCGAGAGCACCACCACCAGTAATCCACAAGGCGCCTTCGGATGAAAGAATGACTTCGCGTAACCTGTCCCAATCATCATCGGTAAGGTTCGCGAGGATAGCATCCTCCCATTCTGCAAGGCAGATGCAATACTTGCCCTCCACCTGCGTCTTAGTGACATCAATCCACTGAGAGATACTGATGTCATGACTAGCCGAGGCAAATGCCCTCTGTATGGTATCCGCGAGCTTGTTTGACGCTTCAGTACCAGTGGTGATGACAAGGCAAGAAGGCAGGCTAGGTGCGGCTGTCTCAGGTTTGGTTGAGACAAGCAGCGAGACAGGCTCTTTCGAGGTTTCGCGATCACCACGGATATCGACATCAACACCCGAGAATCCAGCCTTTTTCAATGCAGTATTCCACTCGTCAGCATCTAAGAGTGGGCCTCCCATCCTACCGTCCGCTTCTCCCAGCCACCAGCCGGGTAAAGGGCCCATGATAAACCCAGAGAAGATACGCTTGATGGTCACCTCGGACAACACAAGACGGCCACCTGGCTTTAGTAGCAGCTTGCAGTGCGCTAATGTTTCCTGAATGCTCTTCGTGGCATGAAGCACGTTAGCGCATACGATTAGGTCATAGGACTCAGGCTTGAAGCCTTGCTCTGTGGGCGTGTTCTCGATGTTGAGCGTGCCAAACTGCATAATGGATGCATCCTGATTGAACCGGTCAGCTGCCTTGGCAAGGAAGCCAGGAGAGATGTCAGTGAAGTAGTATTGAGCTGCCTTGGAACTTCCATCGGGATTGCGCAAGCGTTCCAAAACATGGTATGTGGTACCACCCGTTCCGGCGCCGATTTCCAGGATGCGCAACCCGGGTTGCTTATCAGCGATAAGACCGACATATTCGGCGACATTGGTGTTGAAACTGGTACCGAAGGCACCACGGTAGAAGGAGTAAAGAAGATCGCCCTCAGTCATGCATTGCAGAGCTTCGACTTCGCGTTTGAAGATGCGAGAAAGATTTTGCCCAATACGATCCACCATCTGTACAGTGATGTGGCCGCTCTCGGACTTTACGATGCGTTGCCGAGCTTTCTCCATCTCACTCTCCACATCTGCGGGTAGCTCAGGGAATTGCTTGATAGTGTCATGCATCCACTCTACGTATGACTTCCAGAAGCCATCCTGTGGCACATGTGCCTTCCCTTCCTCGGCCTGGAACCAGTCGAGGATACGGTAGATGTACACCAGGCACACGAACTCGAGTAGATCAAGTACAGAGTCGTCATCTTTACTCTTCAGTGTATGCTTGTAGATGATCTCTTTGATCTGTGATGGAGCCAAGAGATCAGCATCCACGTGCCAGTTCTGCGCAAAGCATGATGCCCGCGTTTCCAGTTGCCTCGATGCATCTTCTGTTGCGCCAACAGATGCTAGCACAACACCTTCCATGATGACGACAGGCTCGGTCATCGTTGCATCTGACATGGTGATGTTCGAGTTCCAAGTGGTGTAGCTCAGTTTCTTTGCGGAAGAGCAGCCGCATAGCTCTGCGCCAGCATTCCTTGGTATATTGGCTGAGACGAAAATGCGATCAAAAGATCTGGGGACGACCGCTTCATTCAATGCTTGCTCTTCGCCGGAGATACTAGGAAAGATGAGATGAAGGACAGAGTCGAGAGTGGCCGGATGGACTACATGGGGGAACTCAAATCCCTTGGGCATGATAGCCTTAGTGTCAGGTACCTTGATGACACCATAACTGGCACTAGGCCCAGCGTACAGCTCTGTCATATTTCGGAAGGTAGGCCCGTACTGCATACCAATTGTCTCGACTGTATCGTATAGGAAGCTCCGTGCCGGCTTCTGGCAGATCCTTCTAGCCTCGGCAAGGGAAGACATATAGCGTTCATTCCCCAGTGCCACCTCGCGCTCCATAGATGGGGAGAAGGTCTTGAAGGCGACGGAGACTAGACCACGGGCATGCGCACTCCAAGAGCTCATCTCTTCACTCCAAGAAAAGATAGTGAACTCGTAGAGCGTGGAGGACGGCGCTGCTCGTGTTCCAGTGCGACGATTGTGCAGCTGCGTCATGACCTCAATGCCCTTCTCAGTGTCAGGTACACGAAGTGCAGTATCGATGTTGACATCGCGCAACTCGAAACCATATATCTCGTCGGCATTCGTCTCCTGAGCCAG